GGGGACTGGGAGGGACTGGGATGGACTGGGAGGGGACTGGGAGAGGACTGGGAGGGACTGGGAGGGGAGTGAGGGGAACTGGGAGGGGAGTGAGGGGAACTGGGATATACTGGGAAGGACTGGGAGGGGACTGGGAGAGAGTGGGAGAGCACTGGGATATACTGGGAGTCATTGGGAGGTCACAGGGGTTACTGGGAGCACTGGGGTGTCACTGGGAGGTTACTGGGAGCCGTTACTGGTTTCACTGGGAGGTTACTGGGAGCCATTACTGGTTTCACTGGGAGGTTACTGGGAGCACTGGGAGGTTACTGGGGTGTTACTGGGAGCCGTTACTGGTTTCACTGGGTGGTTACTGGGAGCCGTTACTGGTCTCACTGGGAGGTTACTGGGAGCACTGGGAGGTTACTGGGGTGTTACTGAGGTGTCACTGGGGGGTTACTGGTCTCACTGGTGTCACTGGGAGGTTACTGGGAGCACAGGGAGGTTACTGGGAGGTTACTGGGAGCACTGGGGGGTTACTGGGAGCCGTTACTGGTCTCACTAGTGTAACTGGGAGGTTACTGGGAGCACTGGGAGGTTACTGGGAGCCGTTACTGGTCTCACTGGTGTCACTGGGCGCAGGTGATGGAACCCCCATCGATTACATCACCGTCGATGATGACGTCACCGATTACGTCACCGATTACGTCACCGCGACTCCCGGGGCTGAAAAATGGACCGGTACCACCAGTAAAACCAGTAACACCAGTAAAACCAGTAACACCAGTAAAACCAGTACCAGCAGGGCTACGGGGACCACCAGTGACACCAGTGCAACCAGTACCAGTGACACCGATACCAGTGACACCAGTAAAACCAGTACAACCAGTACCAGTGACACCAGTACAACCGGTACCAGTGACACCAATACCAGTGACACCAGTAAAACCAGTACAACCAGTACCAGTGACACCGGTACCAGTGTCCCCGGTGACACCAGTACCACCAGTACCAGTGACACCAGTACAACCGGTACCAGTGACACCAGGACCTCCAGTGACGCCTCTGCTACCAGTGGAACCAGTAACACCAGTGCCACCAGTACCACCGGTAACACCAGTATGAGGGCCACCAGTGACACCAGTACCACCAGTACCACCAGTACCACCAGTACCACCAGTACCAGTGACACCAGTACCACCAGTGACACCAGTACCACCGGTGCTTTGACTTCCTCTGATGGTTCCAGTGTCCCCAGTGCCACCAGTACCACCGGTACCAGTGACACCAGTACTGGTGACACCTCTGCTACCAGTGACACCAGTACCTGTGACACCAGTACCACCAGTGCAACCAGTACCAGTACCACCAGTATGAGGGCCACCAGTACCACCAGTGCAACCAGTACCAGTATTACTGGTACCAGAGCTGTCAGTACCAGTACCACCAGTGCCACCAATACCAGTGACACCAGTGCCACCAATACCAGTGACACCAGTACAACCAGTGCCAGTGGCTCCAGTACCACCAATACCAGTGACACCAGTACCACCAGTGCCACCATTATCAGAGCTACCAGTGCAACCAGTGCAACCAGTACCAGTGGCTCCAATAACACCAGTACCAGTGACACCAGTACCACCAGTACCACCAGTACCAGTGACACCAGTACCACCAGTACCAGCAGTACCAGTGACACCAGTACCACCAGTGCCACCGGTATCAGAGCCACCAGTGCAACCAGTACCACCAGTCCCAGTGACACCGGTACCACCAGTCCCAGTGACACCAGTCCCACCAGTGCAACCAGTACCACCATTACCAGTGACACCGGTACCACCAGTCCCAGTGACTCCAGTACCACCAGTCCCAGTGACACCGGTGCCACCATTACGAGTGCCACCGGTGCCGGCAGTCCCGGTGTCCCCGCCGGTATCCGCTGGCCGCCCGCCGTTCAGGCCGCGCTCTTTCCGCCTGTTCCTCCGCCTGTTCTGGGTACCCCGTTCCGCGTCCGCCTTCCGGGCCGCGTCCCCGCTCCGGGCGCGGAGTCGTCGGCCGCGTCGGCCGCGGCGCTGTGGCCGTGGTGGCGCCGGGCGCCGGCGGCGCCGCTCCCTCCGGCGCTGTCGCGGCGCGAGGCGCGGCTGGCGCGGGCGGCCATGGCGGTGGCGCGGGCGGCGGGCGCGGGGCGCGGCGCGGGGGCGGCGGCGCTGGAGCCCGGCACCGGCCGGGTGTTGGCCGTGGGCTGGGACCGGAGAGGGGAGGCCGGGGACGGGCGACACCCGCTGCGGCACGCCGCCATCGACTGCATCGGCCGCGCCGCGCGCGAGAGACGACGCGGGGACGGCGCGGCCGGCGGGGGCGACGTCATCGGGAGGGGCGGTGACGTCATCGGGAGGGGCGGTGATGTCATCGGGAGCGGGAGTGATGTCATGGCTGGGGGAGGCGACGTCATCGGGAGGGGTGACGTCATCAGGAAGGGCTGTGATGTCATGGCTGGGGGAGGTGGCGTCATCGGGAGGGGCGACGTCAGTGGGAAGGGAGGTGACGTCGTCGCGAGCGGGAGTGATGTCAGCGGGAGGGGCGGTGACGTCACCAGGAGCGGGGGTGATGTCATCGGTAGAGGTGGTGATGTCATCAGGAGGGGCGGTGACATCACGGAGAGAGGTGGTGATGCAATGGGAAAGGGCAGTGACGTCATGGGGAAGGGTGGTGACGTCACCAGGAGGGGCGGTGATGTCACAGGGAGGGCAGCATGTGGTCAAGGACAGCGCAGTGACGTCATCGCTGAGGATGGTGACGTCACGGGGAGGGCGTCACGTGGTCAGGGACGGCGCGATGACGTCATCACCAAGGACGGTGACGTCACGGGGAGTGGGGGTGATGTCATGGGGAAGGGTGGTGACGTCACAGGGAGGGCATCATGTGGTCAGGGACAGCGCGATGACGTCATCACCAAGGACGGTGACGTCACGGGGAGGGCGCGGCGGCGCCGGGGACACCCCGGGGACGACGACGGCGGCGTCGGGGCCAAGGTCGCCAGGTTCGGGGGCAATGACGTCATCGGCGACCGCAATGACGTCACCGCCGCCGCCGGAGACATCATACGCCATCACAATGACATCACCACCGGTCACGGTGACATCATAAGGGGTCACTGTGACGTCATAAAACACAGTGATGACGTCATAAGGGGTAATTATGATGTCGTAAGTGGTCACGGTGACGTCATGAGGGCTCACGATGATGTCATGAGCGGTCGCAGCGATGTCACAAGGGGCCGTGGTGATGTCATAAGGGGCCATGGTGACGTCACAAAGGGTCAGGATGATGTCACAAGGGGTCACAATGACGTCACAAGGGGTAACGATGACGCCACGAGGGCTCACGATGACGTCACAGGGGCCCACGATGACGTCACAGGGGCTCACAATGACGTCACAAGGGGTAACGATGACATCACGAGGGCTCACGATGACGTCACAGGGGCTCACGATGACGTCACGGGGGCTCACGGTGACGTCATAAGGGCTCACGATGACGTCACGGGGGCTCACGATGACGTCACAGGGGCTCACGATGACGTCACAGGGGCTCACAATGACGTCACGGGGGCTCACGATGACGTCATCCGCCGTCTCGACGACTTCGCCGCCTCCCTGGGCTCCGCCCCCCTGGACCTGACGGGTCACGTGA